CCTATTTAAGATGAAAGCCAACATCTTCAGATGAATCGCTTATTTCTCTCTTCTTCTAAAGGATCTCCTGTCACTTACCCCAATCCTCTCTTGCATTTGGGGTGCTGGCCCTCATTGCCCAGGGCTTCAGCGATCCCTGAATTGCTGCTTCCAAGACCAAGGCCCTCCGTCCATCCCTGTTTCTCCATCACTTTCCTGCCAATACCCTGAGAGGGAAGGAGACACAGAGGAGAAATAGCAAAGCAAAAGTATTGGTTTCGGCATAGAGGAGTCAATGTTTGACAATAAACACACAGCAATAACATGGTTAGCATTATTATCAGAACTAGATGAAGTCTGTCACTGTTAATAACTATGATATGATTCACAATCCCTTACCACTGGCCATGCTGGGTGAGACTGAAGGGAGTTGTACATTAAAACATCTAGAGCAGGGGTCTCAAACATGCAGCCCGGGGACCATTTGCGCCCCCCCAGATGATAGTTTGTGGCCCTTGCCTTGCCTGCCCCCCCAAAGCGCACACACATCCTCTGCTGTCAAGAGTAAAAAAAAAGCCTTTCCTTGCTCGCTGGCTCTCTCCCAAGACAGCACCTCTTGCACCCTCCATCCGGAACTGCAGCCTCCCAGCCAGCCCACCTGTCTGTCGGCTAAGGAAACTCCTGGGCGGCTTCCTTGGGCTCTTGCTCCGCTTGGCGGAAAATCTGATGCGGCCCAGCCTCACCCAGACTCTGCCTCTAGCGGCCCCAGCGTTTTAACCACTGCACCACGAGGTGAGATTGAAGGGAGCTGTACATTAAAACGTCTAGAGGATCAAAGGTTCACTTCTGCATGGCAAGCACATAGGCAGTTCAAATCACCTATGTGGCCCCTACCGTTGTTAATGTTCACATGGTGAGAGAGATCCATTGAGGTTCTTCTCAGCAGCAGAGCAAACAGTGTAGACATGTGGGCTGCTAATCCCACAATAAAGCAGGAGAAACAGTGAAAGCAACTCACCTTCACTAAGAAAGGTTAGGATTTGGGCTTTTCTGTCTTAAAGATAAGCTTATAAAGAAAGTTATGCTTAAGATAGAAAAGCCTAAACCCTGGTTGTAACTAAACCAACATGTGCCTTAGAAGAAGTCTTAGAGGCACATGGGAAAGGCGTAACAGCATGTCTGCTCCTGAGCCATCTACTGAGAAAGGTAAGCAAGACTTACAGATGGACCCCGAGAATATCAGGCTAACAAAAGACAAAGGAGGAAACACAGGTCAGAGGGTTAAAGGGCAGACCGCCTCCCTAGCTACTCTGCTCCTGAATGTCCCTTGTGGTCATCTGGGCTCAATAAGTATTAAGAGGGAATACCTTGAGGATACAACTTACAAGAGCAATTTCTAAAAAGAAAGACATGCTGTTCAAAATCCATTATGCTTTATTCTGCTGTAAGCACACACGAGCTGGCTGAATAGCTCAGTGGGTTCGGTATCTGGCTGCGGAGTTCCTCACCATGCCTCCTGCGGGTACAGGCAGCCTGGAGGGCCTTGAGCAAGCTGCAACAGTCCCAGGGCACCCCACATGCAACTCACACACACCAGAAGAATGCTAAACCACTTCTGAGTATTCTCTACCTGGAAAACCCCAAAAAGTGCCACCATATGTCAAAACTGACTTGACAGCACATAATGATAATTCACACCATCAGCCTCTACCCTTACCTTAGTATATTTTTCAAAGTTCCCAACCGGCTGGCCCAGAACCGATCCATCCTCCAATCCATCTCGAAGTCTCTTCTCAAACCGCATTTTGACCAAATCCCGAGCATCCTTATCACCACCGTCTAGGACAAATGGAAATCTGGCATCATTCAGAAAGCCAAAGGGCCCAACAGGCAGAAAGGAGAGAACCTTTAGCTTAGGGGCAGCTTTTTCCAACCTGCTGTTGACCCGTTGTTCTAGAATACAACCCCTATAATTCCACAGCCAACCAAAGGAGGGCTTAGTGGTAAAACATATACATCCGTATGCACAGAGAGAGCCCTGAGTACTTTTTAAAAGAAAAATCAAGCGAAAGAGTTGGAAAAGGCCATCAAGAATTCTTCTCTTTCTGTCCTTCTGGCTGTAATGTGGGGATGGCTGGTCAGTCAAGGCTCTCTTCCCTTATGAAGCCACTTCCACTTTACTGGTACTGATGACTTTGCATTAATACTCTTGAAAGGCAGTGCAGTGTAGTGGGCAGAGTAATTAGGGCCCAAGGGAGCTATGGTCAAAGCCCCCAATCCGCTGTGAGTCTACAAGGGAGGGGGGGAATTGGCAAACCATTTCTCGAACATCTCCTGTGCCTTGAAACTCCTATCAGGGGTTGTCATTAAACCTGAAACAGCTTAAAAGTACATAACAACCAGCCTTGAAATGGGGGATATAAAAGCCATGTCTTTGCCTTTCTATTCCCACAAGGCAGGAACAGAAATGTGGCTTCAACCCTCGCTAAAAAGGGCAAAGGGGGGGAAAGAGGAAGGGAGGGATCCTCACAGCTGACTGAACAGGACACAGTTTCTTTCTACATCCAGTTAATGCTGGATTGTGAGGGGTTCGCAACCAGGTTGCCTAGGAAGGAAGGCTGAAGAAATGGCCTCTAGCAGCCATTTTTACCCTGTCTACCCTGCCTCACCTAAAGCCGCTTGTAGTATGGCATGAAACGGAATGTCACAAGAGCTTCTGAAGATTGTAGAGGTGTGGTCGCTGAGGGACCCCTCCACCTTCTGCCATTTCTTCATTTCCCATTGGAGGGGAGAAGGCACTGGCATGCCCCAGAGCACCCACAGGCCCTGCGAGGTCAGGATGGGGAGCAGAAATTTCATAGCCCACCCCTCCCATCCTGAGGCAACTCGCCTCGAGGTCACAGCAGAACTGCTTGGCACGAACATTTAAAATAAACATGTACGGTAATGGCAAAAATACAATCTCTCTTAATTATTGGATTTGGTTTGTGGGATTATATTGAGAGAGACAGCAAAATGCCACAGGGCCCAAATTAAGGCTTTGCAACCAAAGGGAACTGTTTTTACTTGCTTAGGAAGCCAATCTGCTATGGAGTCTGCTATGTTTGAGTGGCAGGTATCAACATTATGGAACGGATTGGCCTAGAAAAGGGACAGGGTTTAAGGAGTGACTTCTTGCTGGAAATATAAACTGGGGTAAAGGGTTTCTGAATATGTGATGTACCACTTTGTGTACAACTGCTATGGCAGGTCAGTACGTAAGGAAGAGGGGGCTGAATAAGCAGCAGTTTTTTATTATCTTACATAATCAGCAAGGTGTTGACTTAAATACTTAGCGGAGCGCCTGCTCCCACCAAGATCTACTCGGATCACTCGCATGAGTCAGGAGGTGAGGCTGAGGAGCCTGATGCCGAGGGAGGCCCGGTGAGAAAAGACGCGAAACCGGGCCTTCTCGGCGGTGGCTCCTCACCTTTGGAACAACCTTCCTCCGGAAATTCGCGAGGCCCCCATGCTGGGTACTTTCAAATGCCAACTGAAAACATGGATGTACATCCAGGCCTTCCCTCCTGTCAACTACTGATTTCTTTGCTTTGCTATTTATTATTTATTTATTCCTGCACTATTTGTTATTGCTGTATACTAATGTTTTTATGTTTTTAAATTGTTTTTGATAGTCTGTAAGCCGCTGAAAGTGGTAGAATATACCAGATGGGCGGGATAGAAATCGAACAAATAAATAAATAAATAAAGACTGACCCTAGCATAGTACATACAGTATGGCAAGAGAGTTAACAGATGCCAAGAACTACAACTCCCAGAAACCTCCAGCTAGCATGGCCACATGGCCCCTAGGGTGGCAGAGGAATTTTGGAAGCAATGGTCTCAAAAATAACATTTCTAACCTTTGACACTGAGAAAAACCCAGCTATCCTCACTCTCCCTTGAACTGTGTGGGGAAAATCAAAGGATGGCAGTGTGAAATGTTTGAGGCATCACATTCTGGTTAGAAAGATAAGTCAAACTTCTTGCAGAACTTGAAACATCCGGCATGCATTAAAAGGAGCTTCACAAAAGGCACATTTATACTAATTTAGGCTCTGTCCATTCCTGGCATCCTAAACCAAGGGAGTTTTAGCTCAAATTACCTTTGTCATAGTAGATGCTCATGTCCACATCCCAGTCATCTGCCGTCTGCTCATCAAAATCTGCCAAAAAGACAAGTGTGGCACTGTTAACTTTCTGTCAAATCATTAGCACAACGATGCCATCAAGATCAGCTCTTCTTGCCATAGCCAAATGCTGTCATGTATGCTGCAAATGTGTTGAAACTAGATATCGATGGTAGCATGGTAAAAAACAAAATAGAAACAAAAAACTTTGCTTCCTTTGATCCATAGGCCCTCAGAATGAAAACACTTAAAAAAACCCACATTTCCTGACTGTACACAAAAACCACCCGTTCGGCCTTTGTTTCTATTACCCCACACCTTCTTCCTTAGGACTTAATGCTTGCTTTATTATTTTTGTTTTGTTTTCTTAATGGTCCCATAAAGGGATCACCTGTCCCTGAGTATTTATTGTTCTGAGGACCACACGGCCTTGTCCTGGCTTCTTTTTCCTTGCACATCTCTTGGCATTGCATTTCCTTGACGCACGCTAACCCTCTTCCAGTTCTGACAAGAAGTGCAAGCATGCAGTAGACCACCCACCAAAAACAGAGTTAAGCCCATGCGTTTGCTATGGCCAACTCAAAATGCATTCCTTTCCCAAGTTCTAAGCTGGAAAGAGCAGCTGGCTTCTTTCTGAACACAGGTTGTGTTTCACAAATCACACGCACGATCAAGGGCAAGCCTGCTCCTTAAGGAAGGGAAGTGCCTTACAGTCTATTTTTGGGTGACACACAACAGGAGAGCATCGGAATCTGAGAGTAACCATTTGTAAAGGCACAGGACTCAGAGGGCAGGCTTAGTGATGAAAGTCTGAGCTTTCCCCAAAGATGAATGGCAAATGCAAAGCAGACCAGGGTAAAACAAGCAAATGTCATTTTTCTCAATGAAAAATACAATGTAATTCACAGCCAGGAGTTCTTAAGTGCAAGGTGTACTCCCATCTCTGTGGAGACCTGAGCAAGGGCATAAGAATGGAGCCGCTCCTCCCCTTTCAGATATATATATATATGCGCATTTGGATGGGACTAAGAAGCAAGCATCAGTTTGTCTCCCCTCATCCCAGTCACAAAGAGAGACATGCCCTTCCTGGCTGCACAGACCCAGGAGCTTCTAATCCAGGGGCGCACAACTGGTGGCTCACTGGATATTGCTGGATTGCAACTCCCATCAGTCCTAACCACTTGTTGCCCTGGATGGGGCTGATGGGACTTGTAGTCCAATAACATTTGTAGGGCCACAAAAATTCTTCTCTTGGAAACACTGAAGTCTAACATCAATAGCTCCTGCCGTCTGCTTTACAACACATTTAAAGGCCAAGAAAAAGCCACAGAGGAAGTGACATTTTGCTCAAATGGCAAATTGCACCTTGCAGAGGATTCTGGAGGGTGCAGTTTGCTATTGTTCACACCTAGTACAAGGGAACTGTGTGTTTGCTGCAGTCATCCACAGCAGGGCAAAATGAATCCCAGACCTTGGGAGGACACACAGCCCTGACTTTATCACTTCAGAGCTTGAAGCGAATCTAAAATTGTTGAGCCGTAAGCGTTGGTAAAGGAACTTTTCAAAGTTACACAGGGAACAGTATGGACAAGCTGTAACTGAGACTGCAGTGCCTGGTGGAGGCGGGAATCTCTCTCTTACTATACACTTGCTTCAAATGTAGATTTGAAGAAACTGCAGAATCTGGATGGTAGTTCTGCAGCTAGAGTAACATCAAATGCTAGTTTGCTTTCCCATTCTGCTCACTGACAAGTCACCATTCATAGTTAATGTCTGACAGATAAAGGCTGCCTAGGGTGACCTTTTGTGGTGTCCCCCTGAAGCAGCAGCAGCTGGAAATAGGTTTTCCTTACGATTACCACCAGCGCTGATGTACTCTATCCCAAGGGCACTGCGAGCAAAAGAACCGTGGCGGGCCAGATGGAATAAGGAGGCAGCAATCAATGAAAGACAGCAGAAAAGGAATACCAGCGGGCTTGACATGGCTTGGATGTAACACAATACCAAGAGATATTTGTGCGGGTGGGGAAGTGATATGGACCATCCAGTCACAGACTGGAGAAGAAATCCTCTCTTTTTTCTTTTTGGACGGGGGGCTTGTTTGTGCACTGAAGTGCCACAGACACTGACGGTCTGACGTTTCCAGCGCTTCCTTAATGAAGGGCTTCTACAAGAGCACAGGCTGGAAAAAAGATCAAGAATTGACAAAAACGAGAAAGACCTCCAGCTTGCGATTACCTCCTTCTTCTTCTTGCTGCCAATACTGTGCATCTGTATAGAAGACTAAACCGGAGCCTCCTTTCTCCCATTTAAGTTCAATCTCCTCCTCGTACAAACGTTCCTTTGTGCGCTCCTGGCTGGTGACGTCCTCATGCAAAGCCTCATGTCGCTCCCATTCCTCGCATCTGTCATCATCAGCATCCTACAAGAGAAGTGGGTGGCAAGGAAACAGATCAACAAAACAGCAATGGCTGGCTCAGTTTTTTTCTGAGTAATCCCTTCGTCACTTTAGTAAATTTACTAACTGGAAGCCTGTTCAGATGACAGTCACCCTAGAACTTCCACTTGCGGATAGATGAAGAAAGAGTTGTACCTTCACCTTCCGACTTCAGTGGCATTCCTGAACTGCAAAATACCATGTCTATTTAGACACAGGATCAGACTAACATTTTAATCTTAGCTTTACTTTCAATATGCAGCCATATTAGGAAGATTCTTTTTCCAAACAAAAGCGGTCTCTATTGTTTAAGGGATTATACTATATATGCATACAATACAAAAAGCAAACTCCTGAGGACTTTATCATTTGTAAAATCTTTTGAAAAAGATCTGAAAGCCTGCACACACTTTTGTGCTTTTTGATCGATCAATACAAGCAGAATATTAAGAATATTACCACAATACAGATTTTTATAATTTTGCCTCTCCTTTTTATAAGCAAGTAGACAATCCAATGTGAACAGCATCTGAAAAACTCCAGGATATGGGTATTGGAGTTAGTTATATCTGCAGTTGATTAATTAGCTGCTCTTTTCTGACAAATGAGAAGCACAAAAATACCACGGATCAATTTTTGCAAACTATGTATTACTGTAACAAAAACCCTCCATTTTGATGGGCTTTTATTTTTTGATGGCTTAATAAATTAATAAATCTTCAAAGATGGAACTGGGTCTAATGTGGGCAGAAATCTATTGGTGATAAAGCACAAATTCCCCAGCTCCCAATACCTCTTTGCATAGTTGCTAATATACAATAGCAGAAACCTTTGAGTCAAAGTTCAGACAGTGGTTTGGGGCAACTTATATTAGACATCTCTGAGTTTCATATTAATGAAAGCATGTTGCCCAACCCAGATGAATAGTTAAATATTAGCAAAATCATTTTCCTTCATTAAAGTGAATAAAATTGTGTCTCTAAGATATAAACATATAATTCCATTCTCTAACCAGAGATACATACGCTATCCAATGGAGACTCTTCTTGTGATGTCTTCTCTGGTTCTTCCCAATCTCCCTCTTCTGGGGCACAGCCTTGATTGGCCATTTCTCCTTCCAGAAGCTGTTCCCCTTCTGTTATTTCCTCTCCTGTAGATGTGTAGACTCGCTCTTCTTCTACAACAGTCTCCGTTTCCTCATACGTATATGGCACATTTCCATACCTGCGGGAAGACCCAGTCTTTGGGAACTGTAATTGCAACTTTCTGATAACCCTAGAAGGCATACGGCAGGCTTTGATGAGATCCAAGAAGACTCTCATGGGTGTCCCTACATTGCCATGAGGCATGAAAGCAGGAGGATTCAGTTCAGGCAGGAGTCTTAAATCATCCTGAGTGAATGTTTCTTTTGATGTCCTGCAGTGCTCCTTTTTGGTTTTATAGGGAAATGTGCCCGCATCTGTGACAAAATGAAAAAAATAAAACATTGAACAAGCACAGTACTGCCATGTAAAGACTGAAATCCTGTTAGCATAAAGTTATGCCATGTAAACAGGATGTCGTCATTATCCAGTGACAAAAACATTTAATTTAAATGGATTTAAGGCCTCCTATTGTCCCTTTTCAGTTTCTGAGATTCCCAAAGGCTCTCCTTTGCCCTGGAGAGACTTGAGACAGAGAAAGGCTTTAACAGCCAAAACTTACTCCCAGATTGTAGATGGTCATCCTGATCCTAGCAAAGCAAATGTCTGATATTAAGGGCTCCCCTTCCTGCAATCCTGAGGCTCCTAAAGGCTGCTCCGTGAGCAGAAGGGAGCCTCAGAACCTGAAAAGGGAGGACAGGAACTTTTCAATTCATTTAAATTAAATATTCTCAACATTATTCCTTTACATGTAGTAAATGTGTGCAAGGGGACTTCGGCCAGTTTTCATTTCTCATTTATTCTCGGGGAAAAAAGAATTCAGAAACATACTACATTTAACTGCTATAACAAATATTAAAGGTTATTCCATTTGCAGGACTGGCCCAAACCCTTTTGTTGATTGAGAAGAAAATATTACTTCCTTTTGCCCAGAACTTAAGGTACACTGTAGCCAAGGCCAGACAAGTTATTTCGGTCCATTTTGCAGAAACTCCCACCTCCCAAACCTTTCTCCTTTACAGCAAAGATAGTATGTAGTTGCATGACTAGCCTAGCTGCTCATCTAGTGTATAATTCCTTATAGAAATCATATAATTATTGGAGCCGAAAACGTGAAAGGTACACTGGGTGGTCTACCGAGTTGTACTTTAGGGCTCGGCAAGAAGACCTATTCAAGATATGAACCACCAGAGACTTCCCTCTTGTCTACTACCTCTGTCCGGGGAAACGCGAACCCTTCTTATGAGGCACCGGCCGGGGACAGTTTCTCCCTGCCTGTCAATCCAGCGCTTGCCCGAGTACATACGAAGCAAACGCCGCGACCAGCCGGACCGCACCACGACCAAGCAGCAACAAGTCGGCCCTGGCCGCGGAGGGACCTCGGGCCGCTCTCCGCCTTCGGGACGGTGACGGAAATGGAAGCAGAGGAAGCCGCCGGCCTCGATGAATTGGCTGAAGTAGGCGCGGAGATCGGGGGAGCGAAGCCGGGCAGGAATGCAGCTCACCAGGCAATACCGGCCCTCGGGTTGAAGAGCGGAAGGGCCAGCAGTGGGCGCCGCCATTTTGGAAGGCCAAAAACATCACGTGAGAAACGATGCGTAATACGTCGCCAGCGCAAGATGGCGCCGCAGCAACAGCGCATGACCCAAGGACTTAAAGTAGAGATAGAAAAATAGTAGAACGCCCCATAGAGATAAGAAAAAGCATTATATATGTTTTGTAAGAAGGTAATAGATAAATATAACAGTCAGAAGAATATAGTAAGAGAACAAATGAAACCATATTGGGCATACATGGATCCTTATGTCTGGCTAAGCTCACATGAAAATATAATACTGTAGTCTTTAAGGTGCCACATGTTTTTGTGTTGTTTTGTTTTGTTTCTTTGGATTTTGCCTGATGAGTCTGGCTAAGGTAACCCTTTGGATCTGGCCAAATCTCTTCCTACACAGTGGGTTTAACATGTAGTTCGAAGATCGAACTCTTAAGCAACCAAGTAAGCACCAAACTTGCATTACTTTTAACTACAATACTTGAAATCCTGTTGGGTGGGGTTCATCTGCGCAATGGCAATGTTGGCAGTAGTGCTGATTAAAGTCTTCTTTTTGCAAGTTTGGGGAGCATGTGACTTTGTCACATTGTGTATGAGCCATGTACCCCACAAAACCACAGAAAAAAAACATTGATCACTCACAATGTGCTGCTGCCAATAATCTCATTCGTGTTGCACAAGGCAGAGCTGAGCAACAGGATTTTCAGGAAACATTTTATTGTCTTCTGTTTGGTTGTGCTTGAGCCTTTCCAGGTCATTAAAAGCCATAGTCCAAAACAAAACTCTTAAGATATTTGCTTAGAATTGCATTCTATAACATATAATGGACCACATTCAAAACACACACATACAAATGTTGATAAGATCTGCTCCATGGGCTGCAGAGAGCCAGCAACCCAACAGGCTGTAGGTATGAGGGTTGTGTATGTGAATGTTATTGGCATCTCAATGCCCGTTGCTCCCTTTTTAATAGTTTCAGAGGACTCTCCCTGTTAATCCATAGTCTGTTACAGCAAAACCATGAAACTAGTGCTTGTAAAGGCTGTGGCCCAGTTTCCTATTTCCAGTGTTTTCTGTTCATTAAGGCAGTGGTCCCCAACCATGGGCCTCCAGATGTTCTTGGACTTCAATTCCCAGAAATCCTGACCAGCAGAGGTGGTGGAGAAGGCTGTGTAGGATGAGAGAGGACCTCTGTGACACTCAGGGAATCCAGCAAAAAGGGCACATTCCCAATCATCCACAGAGTGCACGATAAGTAGAGGGATGCAACAGAATCATCAAGTATGCATTGGCAAAACAATTAATTGTTGAGGATGGACAATGAGATAAGCACCTTCCCATGATCCTCATGACTAGGAGGGCACTGGGAACTGCTGGCACCCCATCTAAAATAGGGGTGCATGGATGAGCCATGAATTAGAACACACGAGTTTCTGTACTCTCCCAGCTTTTTGTACCCAGAGTGGGTCAGAATAGATTTGTGGATAGCAGAGCTGGTGCAAGCTTTGTGAGAAATTGCGCACAATAAGAATGTCAGAAAATAAGGGAAATGTCCAAAGAGGACAGCTAAAACACAAGTGGAGAGAAGGAGATTTAGTGATGTTGAAAGACCTGGTTCCAAAAGGAAGGATGAATCTGAAATAAACTGGACCGTACAGGATTAAGGATGTGGTAGCAATGCTTGTCAGCACATGCAAAGGAGATGTTTGGAGACAAGGTTGATCAGGTAAAAGGATAGCTTACTTACCATAATGATGGGTCTCTCTGAATTCACACTAAATGAGTGAGTACCAAGGTCACTTACCAGCTGGAGGGTTGTCATGGAAGAACAGAAGCCAACAGTGGGAACAGGGCGTAGGCCTTAGGTGAGTGAAATAATCATCTTTTTAAAAGACAAAACAATGTTTGCCTCTTAGAAGAAGCAGAACTGTTCCAGACTTCCAAACAGTTGAGATCTTCTCTTCTGTGCAGATGCAATGTCTTAGAAGAAGCAGAACTGTTCCAGACTTGCAACAGTTCAGATTATCCCTTCTGTGCAGGTGCAATTTTTAGTGTGTTCAGAAGCAAAAAAGGGAAATGGACTCCTGCGCCTTGATTAGTTGTGTCAAAGGCTCGGTCAGAGGACACAGTCTTAGTGGTGGTGTCCTAGCTAGAAGAAGACATCTCAGTAGGTATTCCTTGCCAGCTACACCTGCTGCAATCCGCTTGTAGTGATCACCTTTCATTTTGCATATGTATGAAGGTTTTTGCATGCACCAATAGGAGTTGTTGGGAGGCGGAGCCAGAGAAACAAGAAGGGAGGGGTGAGGAAGGTAAACGGCAGTTAGAGTTTGGGAGTCAGTGAGTGAGGAGTTAGTCAATGGACAGTTAAGGGCGGCAGTTTGTTTGTTTGTTTGTTTGTTTGTTTGTTTGTTTGTTTATTTATTTATTTAACTTATATGCCGCCCACTCTACCCAAAGGTCTCTGGGGAGCTTACAAAAAGTAAAATACAATTAAAATACAACAAAAAGATAAAACAATTAAAATGCAATTAAAATAGATTGAGAGTGTGTGGAACTTAGAATTAAGTGGGAAGTAAGTTATTACAAAACTATTGAATACTAACGTCTTTGAAGAACCTACCTATGTGACCTGTATCCCATAAACCTGTTCTTGTTGAAAGTTGCCCGCAGTATGGACCTCAATCTGTCTTAAGTAAATATTGTTGACAGAGATCAACTGGTGGCAGTGTAAAAGGGATGGGCCTTAGGTTAGTGAAATAATCTGGGGACACGCAAGGGGCATGTCACACTGCTCCCCTGCAGGAGCGTTAAAAGTGCAGATGCCTTGCCCTCTTTAACATCCAAGCACCAAATACGGTGGGCGATGGGATAGGGTTTGGCTTCCATCTCCCAGCAGCCTGAGCTAGTCTAGCAAGAGTGGAGGCTCATGGGAATTCCTGCCCAAATTTTCTGGAGAGCCATCATTGTCACAGGAACCTAGAGGATTTTTTCAGCCTGAGCAGAGAGAACAAATTGGCAAATGACAACACAATCTCATGCATATTTAGTCAGAGCAAAGTCCTTGTATGTCCACAATGGCTCTTTAATTCAATCAGTTTTGTTTGTTGGGGAGTGTTAATTAATTACGTAAGGGCAAAGATATATAAGCTTTCCAACAAAGAGCTTATTGGACGATTTGCTTGCAGAGTGGTTGTTACCATATGAACTAACTATCTTTCTTTCTGTTTAAATTTGACTTTGCAGGCTTGTCCATTGAAATAATCTGCCTGTCCTTCAGAAGACGGTGCCTGGCCAAAAAAATAAATAAAATAAAAATAAAAAAAAATAAAAAAAAGATTGTCGATCGGAAAAGGTGCCAAAAGTAGATACTTAAACAATGGAGATCAATGCCACAAGGTGGTGGAGCAGAGGACTTCTGTATTGAGCTCCCATTCGTGGAGCTGGCTGTCCAGGTAAGTGAATAGCAAGGGGGGAATATGTGGTGTTCCAAATGCCATTCCCAAAGAAGGAGCGCTCCGTAGAGGAAACGTTGGGAGTGAGTAAAGCTCTTCAGTTTCACAGGGATTGAGCTCAAAGGCTTGGAAACAGACGAGGAGGGAGTTGGTTGCAGGGTCAGAGCCCGTTGTGCCTCTCGAGAAGACTCCATCTCTGGGGCCACGAGGGAGGCTTCCCAAGGATGAACTTTGGAACAGTCCAGTCGGAGTCGAATGGCGGTTTGGGTAAAACCAGAGCAGAGACGGCAGCACTACTGCGGTTCAAGCT